AATCCATTTATAAAGAATTATCTTTGTCTTTTAACGTTTCGGCACTATCGTCCTCGTCAAAGCATGGAAGTTGCACACATCAGTGAACCATCCATTTGCAAGGCAACGTCATGACTTAAGATAATATGCAGGAAAACGAAGCAAAAACCTAACCAGAGTCACGCATAGCCACACTCACCTTAGAACAGCACAAATTAAGGGTATAGAAGACCACCGACTATGCAGTACTTTACCTTCCTCTTTTCATGGTACTCAGGTGTCCCGACCTCATATTCAAATCCACAAAGGGAAAGATATGGAAGATACGAAATCGTTGGTGATAGCAACACACTCCTCCTTCCAGTTCATTTCGGATTTTTACTTATTTACAACGTTTTTACGCGACAACGAGGGGGCGTCCCGTAGCTCCCATGTGGGTGTCTCCACCTGACACCATACAGTCACTTTCCGTACCTAACGGACAAACTACGCAACCCTGGGTTCAAGCAACTGCGGTCATACGCACGATTTCGAGGGTCTTTGAAGAGTGATCTTCTATAACCCAACTTGTGCTTTTCTAAGAGGTGGCTATACGTGACTCTGGTTAGCTCTTTATTTCGTATTTTCCAATTGAACATTATCTTGAGTTATGACGTTGGCGTCCGAATTGGTTCACTAAGTTGTTCGACTTTCCGGGCTCTGACGATGGCGGTAGTGCCGAAGCGTTGCCTGTAGTGAAAAAGTTACCTGGTATGCGCTCAACAAAGGAGTTAAGGTTAAAAGGCGGACTCGGAGAATGATCTTTATGTTCTCATTTTTTAAACAAAGTAGAAATCTCACTGTTTTAGCTGAGTCAATGTTCAAATCTCTGTCCGGATGCGGCTGTAGGTATTGCCTGCCAAATAAGGCGATAGCGAAGTAACTGCGAACAGCGAGGTGAACAACCTTTAAATTAGAAAATTGAACTTATTATTTATATACCGAAGCAGACCGCTTCCTATTCTACGATCCATGCTAGGTCTGCCCAGTATATGCACAAACCCGTGGAACGGCGCGTACACTCCGATAAAAACTTTAGCAAAACTTTAATCAAATGCTTTACACGTACCTGAGTGTAGACTAGGGGTACCGGCACCCAATCGAACAGCGTAAGACTTAGGATTTGCACGCGAAACTGTCGAATTTTCTCAAATTGAACTTTCGTTATTTTTAAATATACCTTTAATTATATGAACTAAGCAGCTTTTAGCAATTAAATGATTTGCATGACTTTCGAATACCTCATGAAAAGAGAATATTGGTTTTGGAAAAGGATTAACAGCGTGAGTGATAGTAATTTTTGCTACTCACTCCCGCGCAACGCAGCTCGTATGCGCCCGCAAGTGGCATGCGAGTCTGTAGCTACACCATACGCGAGCGCCTCGACGATGTGCTACCACATACGAATCGATCAGTTGCTGTGCTTGAGCCATTCTCGCACGGTGCTTGAGTCTTTAATGCTTTGTAATCTGCTCACCTCCATAAGATCCACATACACGACTTCTCCAGGAATTTTTCCTTCCTCTTTAGCAACTCGTATCAAACTGAATAACCAATGCATCGGTACCCAATATTTTGCATTCTTCGTTTTAATCGAGTTGAATCGCTCAAGTTCCTTTTCTGTCATAAGACCTCAAAAAGTCATAAATTATTATTCTTATCTCAGAAGAGTTCTAAATCATCCTACCAGCCGTAACGAGATGATTCATTGTCGGAAAACGCCGCCTAACACCTGCGGCCACATCTCGAAACACCATTGCTTGGGTTAGGACAAGGTATCGTATAAGCGTGCGTCGCATCATTCGGGAGCGTTCCGTGTGGCCTCGTACATATTGGGTTATCCAAAGACAAGGTCTGAATTGAAATTATTCAGGAAAAGTCCATATTCCTCCTTGATGCTGCTTCTTAATCCTTCTTATCC